GGCCGGCCCTAGAATTTTAATACATGTTGATTATTCACAAATTACTTAAGTTCGTAATTGTGTTAATTTCTTGTCTATTTAGTGAGAAATAGCTGTATTAACCTCACAGGAACAATTTTTGTTTGTTTTTGTTTTAGTGCTTTCACGTGCATTTAAAACAAACGGAAAGTGTTCATGATCCATGCTTTTAATTCTCCTCTCTAACCAAGAATTTCACCTGAAATTATTCATGGAATATCTTGAAAGATTCGGGGAGAAAAAAGGCAGCATATATGCTATTGTGAGCACTTTGTGTTTTGTCTTTTTGACCAAAGAATAAGCTGGCTAACTTACTTAAAGCATACATATTTTAGTCTCTGTTTCTCATATTGGTGGCCATTAAATTATCTTGAAAAGGGAGGACATCAAAATTTGGAAGGATCTTAGAAACTCCTCTCCTACTTATGGGTGGTCCAGAGAGAAGAAAGTCTGAAGCTACAGTCACCTGCTTGGCCTTTGACAGGATCGGGTCTTTTGACAGAACACAAGTCCTGTACCTTTGGTGCCATGTGACTAAATCATTGTTACAGAGGCAGAACAAGTCTATTTCAATGACATGAAATGCCCATTGCTTTATAAAAGACCCATCCATAGCTTCTACACCTGCTTCTTCTAGGTGCAAGGGCTGAAGGAGGGAGTCAGCTACGTGTTCCGCGTCCGAGCTATAAACCAGGCAGGAGTCGGAAAGCCGTCTGACCTCGCTGGCCCTGTTGTAGCAGAAACCCGTCCAGGTGGGTTTTTACTTTTTCATTAAAATTAATCTTATCTTGGGCCGAGCCCATGGCGCACTCGGGAGAGTGCGGCGCTGGGAGCGCAGCAGCGCTCCCGCCGCGGGTTCGGATCCTATATAGGGATGACCAGTGTGCTCACAGCACTCACTGGCTGAGCGCAGTGTGGCTGGTCTCAAAAAGGACAAAAAAAAAAAAAAAATTAATCTCATCTGTGTGAAATACGAACCTAACTTCCTAGGCTTTTCCTCATTTTCAAAATCATCAACATGTGCTATATGAATAATTGTGAAGTATGTCTTTAGGACATGACAATCATTTATGTTTTCACAGGCACCTTGGGACTGGGATGAGCCAGATTTGAAGGGGTCCAAGAGCTAGTCTAGTTCATACCTAACTAAAGACTGGGAAGTTCTTGATCAAATTATGCTTGCTGGACCAGCTATTCCAGGCTACATTCCTGGGATGTTATTCCTATTATACCCTGGCCATTGAGTCCCACAAGATATTTTCCAATCATAGATAGTAAATATTTTCAACTCCACAGCCATATGGTCCCTGTGACAACTATTCTGCCATAGCACAAAAGCAGCCATAGACAGTACATAAACTACTGAGCATGGCTATGCTCTGTTAAAACTGTATTATGCACATTATATGCATTATATAATGCATTATAAAATTTGAATTCCACATAATGTTCCTATGTCTTAAAATATTAATCTTTTGATTTTTTTCAACTATTTAAAAACAAGAGGCAAAGGGCCAGATTCAGCCGCCAGGCCACAGTTTGCTGACTCATGGGTTAAATTAACAGCAGTAGGTGTCATAGCTGAATGGTGTGGAGAGGCGAGGTAGCCCTCACTTCCTGGTCTCAAGAGGTGCCGTGATTGGACTTGAGAAGACAGTCTTCCCCTTTATTATGAGAACAAAGTCTACAGTGTTCATTACCCACATAGTTTCAGATCTTTACATAATAATTTCTTTTATCNAAAAAAAAAAAAAAAATTAATCTCATCTGTGTGAAATACGAACCTAACTTCCTAGGCTTTTCCTCATTTTCAAAATCATCAACATGTGCTATATGAATAATTGTGAAGTATGTCTTTAGGACATGACAATCATTTATGTTTTCACAGGCACCTTGGGACTGGGATGAGCCAGATTTGAAGGGGTCCAAGAGCTAGTCTAGTTCATACCTAACTAAAGACTGGGAAGTTCTTGATCAAATTATGCTTGCTGGACCAGCTATTCCAGGCTACATTCCTGGGATGTTATTCCTATTATACCCTGGCCATTGAGTCCCACAAGATATTTTCCAATCATAGATAGTAAATATTTTCAACTCCACAGCCATATGGTCCCTGTGACAACTATTCTGCCATAGCACAAAAGCAGCCATAGACAGTACATAAACTACTGAGCATGGCTATGCTCTGTTAAAACTGTATTATGCACATTATATGCATTATATAATGCATTATAAAATTTGAATTCCACATAATGTTCCTATGTCTTAAAATATTAATCTTTTGATTTTTTTCAACTATTTAAAAACAAGAGGCAAAGGGCCAGATTCAGCCGCCAGGCCACAGTTTGCTGACTCATGGGTTAAATTAACAGCAGTAGGTGTCATAGCTGAATGGTGTGGAGAGGCGAGGTAGCCCTCACTTCCTGGTCTCAAGAGGTGCCGTGATTGGACTTGAGAAGACAGTCTTCCCCTTTATTATGAGAACAAAGTCTACAGTGTTCATTACCCACATAGTTTCAGATCTTTACATAATAATTTCTTTTATCATTTAATCTTCATTATTTTTCAAAATGATCATTTATTTCAGTTGATTAAAGGTATATAAAAGAAAGCTCTGGAAATGAAAAAGGATTTTTAAAATCAGCCAGTTTTAAGCTTATGTTAATTCTTTTTTTTTTTTTCCTTTTTGTCTTTTTTCGTGACTGGCAACAGGATCGCAACCCTTGGTGTCGTGCCCGCACCGCGCTCAACCAGTGAGCGGACTGGTTTCTGTATGGGATCCGAACCCTCGGAGGGAGCGCCGCCACGCTCCCAAGCGCAGCACTCTACCGAGTGCGCCACCGGGCCGGCCCGAGCTTATGTTAATTCTAATCCAAGCACTTTTGCTTTAATCGGTTCCTATTTTCAGTCTGAAACAATGAACAGATACATAATGTAATATTTATGTTCCTGATGCGAAAAAAATATAAGCATAGAAAACTCTGCTTTCACTACACGTTATTAGAAAAGTCTATGAAAAGTATATAAAATTTTCTCCTTTGAAGAAATGTCTGCCCCTTTCAGCCTATTTCCTCATAACCTGTTTTCAACTGCTCTTATAAATACTTTCTAGACCTGGGTCCTGACAAAAGTGACCTTCTAATACAAAAGCATGGTAGGTGTTTGGAGAGAGTGCCACACCTCACATAAGGAAGCTTTGCAAAATTTCGTGAGAAAACAGAAAAATGCTAGAAACGTATACCCTGGGTAAAAGGTAACACACAGAGACACCAGGACACATATTCCTATAGAAATCAGACCTTTCCATTGACAACTGTGTAGAAATTAAAGATGCCAAAGGGGGACATGCGCAAGGACTCAATGCAGAGTCTACCCTCATGAGGACAACATCTGGATTACTGTACAAGTGATCTCTTAATCTAGTCATGGGTAAAGCAGAAGCACCATTTAAGCCATGGATTCCAAATCAGATTGACTGAAGAAAGCTTAAACCAATTTCTTATTTTCTCATCAATAGCCTCAGAATGGCAGATGGCCAGGCATGACATAACAGAATCATCACTAGGGAAATTTTGCCACCAGAAAAGGACCTGCTGGTGACAGTCAGGGTGAGAGTTTTGTTTCACTGACTTGGAAGAAAGCATCAAAAGTCATTTTTGTGTCCATTCCATTCCCAGAATATAACTATAAACCTCAGCTGCAGACAGTGATCTACTGAGCAGCACCATATTAACCCATTCAGGAACCACCGACTCACAGCCTAGGAAAAAATCCTGGGGTACACAAAGTCAAAATGCTCCCTGTGAAGGAGAACCAAAACTCCAGTGGCATTTGGATTTGTTTCATATGCAACAGACACACTCATTCTTGCAACATGTACAAGGGTACTTCAAAAAGTTTGTGGAAAAATTAAAAGCTAATACAAATCTTTCCACAAACTTTTTGAAGTTCCCTCATATTTATTGAGCTCTTACTGTATGCCAGGTGCTATGTGGACCCTAGGAGTAACGTGACATCATGACTGCACTCCAGGCTTACAATCTAGTGAGAAGGCCAGAGTTTACAACATGGTGTGATCAGAGTTAGGATAGATGTACATAAAATGTTCCCCATAGGCTATAAACTAGGTATCAAGGTTTTGTAAGTCCATGTATAAAACTTATATGTAGCCTAAAATAGTCCATATTTATTAATTTTGTTAAATATCAATATATTACTTTTACCCATGTATTTATTTTATGTTAGGATGGGTGGGGCGGGGGGGAGGCATGTTATCAGTTTCAAGATTTGGGATGTTGTAGGGCTGGGTCACAGACCCTTCAAACCCATCCTGTGCAGGCTGGGTCACAGACCCTCATATGCAGGTCACGAGCTAGGTAGCTGGAAAAAGATCCTGGGAGCCATTGGCAAGGTTAACCTGCTTTATTTGGACGCAAACTCAACCCCCAGTGGATGACAGCCGTTGTCTTTTATACTAGAGTCAGATAACCAAGGGACACATGGGTGCGAGTCAGATAGCCAAGGAACACCTCAGTGCACATGCACAAATAACATATTTACAACTGACATACTGAGTTATGCTCAGCTGGATATGAGGTGAAGGAGCCTGACCGTTCTGTCTCCATTTTTCCTCACAGATGTGAAACTTGAATTGCTATTTCAGAAGAACAACTTCTTTTAGGATGCCTTATTAAAATTTCAGACAGAAAATAAAGCTTATCATGTAATAGCAAACCACCAGTACATCTAACAAGATACTTCAAGTGTAATTTGAATTCCGGTTAAGGGTTAACCTAATCCATGGGGTTGGAAGGATCACTTGTGTCCCTTTAAAGTCAAAGAATATGGAGGCAGGTGTGACCCAGCCACTGTTACAAAGTCTAATTGTGCTGGTGATGAGGATCCAGATAATGGACTGTGTCCATTAGCTAAAGAAGCCTATATAAAGAATAGGCTGAAAAATATTTAGTGTAGATTTGTTGGTACATGAGAGGACATTCTCTTCTCGATATTTGATATTTTAAAAACAGTGTCTGTGGCTGATTGCATCAGGCCCGGATGGAGGTGGAGGATAGGTGAGCCAGATCAGATGAGACAAGAGAGAAAGCTGCCAAGACGTGGCAGGTGAGGTCTGGAGGTCAACAAATAGCTGGCAGTACAGGTGCGGGTGATCTTACCAGAGAAACCAAGCAGTGGGCAGGAGAAGCAGGTGATGGACAGGAGAACCCAGACACCAGGCAGAGTCCCACGCAGGGTTCCAGGAAGTTAGGATGTGGTCACGAGGAGCAAGGCAGATTAGGAGAATGAACTACCAGAGGAATAGTGAGTTGGGATTAGAGTTGACAACCTACTAACCAAGGGCTCAGTACAATCCCAGTGTCAAACACTGGTTGGTCCCAGAAACTGGTAGGGCTGATGTTGGGAAAATATAGGAAAATGGTCAGGGCCCCTCAGAAGTTCAGAATCTCGCCGAGCTTTGCTGTAAATATCCTCAGCTGTTCCCTGTTACTACTTAATATAATTGCGTATGGGCACCCAGATGTCCTGGGTTATGGACTTGAGTATAAAGGACTAACAGCTCTGATCCACGGTGCTTCTCAGAACTCTCAGAGAAGCCACTAGGACAGCTGCTCCTAGATCTGAATAATGCCTATTAATTTTTTACCTATGGCTCCCAGGACCTTTTTCCTATTACCTAGCTTGTAGACCTATGTGTGGAGGGTTTGTGACCCAGTCTGTGCAACAGACTCGA